GATTAAAGAAGATGCATTTCTCATCTGATAAAGTCTATATACTGGGGGTGGAAGCAGGTTTTCCCACCAAGTTCTCCCTCAGCAACCTGGTATTGTCAATGAGAAGATGACAGATATGGCTACAGTCAGGAGGCAGACCCAGAGCCTGTCTGACTCAGGGAACCAACAAGTGCAGCAGGGACAGGAGAAGCCCCCTGCCTTTTTAGCCCAGTGCAGGGTAGGCAACTGGATCCAACACCTGTAAGTTATCAAGAATAAAAGAATACAAAGAGACCCCATGTAAAAACCCCCAAGTGCGAAATGACTCCAATGGGATAACTAAAAATGGTAAAGAGCTAACCAAATTAATGCCGTGTACCCATGCTATGGTACCTAACAAGGATCTATGGAGAAAACAGTTAATACGAATGGACAAAACCTTTCCATGCCGTGTGAGACCTTGTCTATGATTGATTTAATATATAATGTTAACGTTCCTTCGACTGTTTTACAGATGTGAAACCATTTGAAAGATACCTGAAGAAGTAAAGGCCAGCTATAGCTGTAAGATTCTTGAGAGTTTTATGGTTGGGTAAGATAAAGACAGAGACTCCAAAATTATACAACTGTTAAGAAAATCTACAGTACCAGGAGTGGGTTGCCCCCCTATGAGCTGTTGGACAGAGGGAGATCCTAGCGGTCCTCCAATTCACCAAGACTATTGCCATTAATGTCAGTTGTACACTGGAAAGGTTGGTAAGGCTATGTTGCTGAAGACACTGCATGTTGTGAGTGCCGGAGAAGAAGAGATGGGCCTGAGACTAAGCCAAAAAACTCTGTGCCACTTGATGGATGTCGTTCATATTGCCAGAAGGCGCTATGCAGATGGTTAGGGAAGAAAGGGTCCTCTATGATTCTACAATACCTGCAAGTGCTATAATGGCTCCACCAACATACGTACAACTGACAAATTTCTAATTGGATAAGGCCCGCTCCTAGGGGAGGAACACACATCTGGTGATGTAGACCAGGCCAACGCATTGTGTTGAGAAAGGCTACAGGCCCTAGTGGTGATGTCATCACAAATATACTGTTTAATGAATATAGTACACCTACTGGGATATCTTCTAGGCATTTGTATTCACATTCATGTTTGTTTAAATGTGTCTACTTCCTTCCATTTGTCTTTATAGTAGAAGAAACACCAGTGAGATAGATCAATGGCCATGGCTTAAACACAAATAAGGGGGAGGTGCATGAAGTCACTATCTTGCCACAATACAAGAGAGATCGCACTACATTTGTCACCCCCTCCAAGGCTTAGGGACCTTAGCAGAAGATTGGTGGAAAGATTGTAAGAGCAGAGGAAAGGGGTGGAGAGTGTTCCCCAGGGGTTCTAGTTCCTTTAAGGGGCAGGGCCTGCAGCAGAGAATGGACTGGGCAGAGTGAGCCACCGAAGGAGAGGCCTGTGGTGCTATCTTGGGACAGGAGCAGTGAGCTGCAATTAACACAGGAGTGACATGTGTGGGGAATGCACAGCAGCTGGGTGTACTCGAGGACAGAATGGGCTGACACTTACAGACTTGGGGCTAGATCTCTGGCCCCTGAGGCATGCACGAATGCTAGCAGTGACTATGGGTTTGGCGCAGGAGTGGTCTGATATGGCAGGCTCTGAGCTGCTGCCAGAGGCATCACTGGAGCTGAGCAGTGCTACGGGGCTAGACACTGGGTGCACATTCCTTTGTAAGTTATTCCCCCCCCCAACGATAATAATAAATGCGCATAAAGATATGTTATATGGTTTTTCTGATAGTGCAAAAGACCCAGAGAGAAATCCGGCAGCAGTGCACCACCATGATCAGTTAGGTTCATTTTTATTTGTGTGTGTTTGTCTGTGTGAATGTAGGCCATATGTGTGCAGGTGCTTTTAGAGTCTGGAAGATGGCATCAGATCCCCTGGAGCTGGAGTTACAGGCAGTTGTGAGCAGTCTAACATGGGTGCTGTGAACTGAACTCTGGACTTCTGGAAGAGTAACAATTGCTCTTAACCCTTATTATGAAATAATAACACTCAATAATAACACTCAATCCTGGATGGTTGCTAACTTGATTGGATTGAAAGATGCCTAGAGGATTGGTAAATCTATGAGATGACTGACAAGTGAGTCAAGGAACTGAAAGAAGACCCACCTGAATATGGGTGGTGCTATCCAATAATCTGGAGGCCTGAATGGAACAAAAAGTGTGCGCAAGCACAATATTTCTAGAGCAAGTGTGGCTCCTGCTGTTGCCATCACTG